TAGATTTTGTAATTGCGCACCAACTTCCTAGAAGATGAGGATTCCCATAATCTCCAGTCATTATAATATTAAACTGACAAAAGTTTTTATAACCCGCAGGTCAGAAATTCTGATGATGGATCTGGGGGAGTGCTGGTCTGCGATTTCAACAACTCAACAATTATATCATCCATTCATGACCATAAAGTTAGTAGATATTTAAAACCTTTTCTTGCTCTAGCCCTTTCTTTCTGATATAGTGTAATTATGGGGCAGCCTGAAAAGGTCGGTGTAGCATGCGAAAGGCGATAAACCATGATTTACGCTCGCTTGTTTTTAACACTTTGATTTCCTCTCCAGCATTTTATTGAGCTACAAGCAAAGGTTCTTCTCCGATTAGCTAAGGCGAACGCACCGCAGTAATGGCTAAAATGCAGTACTTCTCCACAAAAAATCGTCTTCCCTCCGAAGGAAAAGTTGTGCATGGCTGCGTCGAGTCGTTTGCGTACAGCATAACAATGAGCCGTAAGGAACATCGAAAAACAACACTTGCACCTCGGGGTGTCTCAATTTGTTTTGAAGCGCCCGAAGGACGTGAGAGTATTCGCTCTTTTCTGACGGCTAAACGAACGATTATGTCGCGGTTATCGACTCACATTAGGACGCTTACTTCAAGTAGAAGATTCCTGTGTACATCAACACCTAATTTTGTGAGAACAAATAATTCTACACCATCTAATGACCATGGACAAGCTTCTAGCTCGATGGATCCTTCAGAGAGTAAGTTTTTGTAAATTTCAGTACTTCGTTGTTCCTTCTTGAATCGCAATTCACCTAATATTACATTTTGGGTAATGCAAGAACGAAATTTATTCTTCGTTTGCTTCCAAAACCAAAATAAATAGGTCCTTTTAACCAAGATCTTTCCAGTATGTATCAGGATTAAGTAGAAGGCAAAAACTCCAAATCTGTAGCAAGCTATTGCAGTTGGTCTCGTCTCGTTCCTTTTCAATTTTTCAAGCATTCAAAACACCCTATATGTAACTGTATGTCGATTTTTATGCGCGTTTGCGGTTTATTCCAGAAATCAACCGCTTCCCAGCTCAACAGGATATGGACGAAAATTTCGAAAAAGTAATGAAAATTGTGTTAGTTCTTTTCTTGATCTCTAACCCATCTTCTTTTATGTTTATGTTGCTTTAGACAGAGGTTTCGAAAAGAACCGCAAAACTGGCCAATTGAAGAGCAACCATTTGGCATCATTGAGCGAACTTTTGTTGGTACTATGATGCATCCTGTAA